AAACTGCTTATCAGTCAATTGTCCCATTACTTTTGAGCCTGTGAAAATGGAGGAACTCTGTAAAAAAATGGCTGTAATTCCTAAACGGTTAATGCAATATTTTTGTTAAACCCCTTGAATTAAAGCTGAAAGTCTACGCTTCAGTCACATCTTGACTGCTTCATTTCAAATCCACTGTGGTGGTGTACAGAGGCAAAATGACCAAAACTGTGTCACTGTCCCAATATTTATGGACCTGACTGTATGTCTTTTATATGTATGTGTAGTGTCTGTTTTTATTTTTCATTTTTAGCAAAACATCCTGTGCACTGTAGCTTTAAATGTGAAAAATAAAACCACAATTAGATCTCATTATGAGAAAAGAGGGCACATCTTTATGCCTAGGGTCATTGACGTTATCAACACATACTAAGTTTATAAGTGACAGCAGCAGCAGCAGCAAGTCACTGAAGCTTTACTGAACAAGCTTTGGCAGTGATCTTTTAAAATATGAAACTGACTAATTGATGATTGAACAAGTTGAGAAGTTGGAGAAGTAATCGATTGGAAAATAAAGGTCACTTTGACACCCACTTTTTTTAATCCCAAAAGATGTTTAAAAAGCATTCCAGGAACTACTAAGTCGTGACATTTTAGTATTGGCAAAATATTTTAACTGCCACACTGTAGCAAAATCTTGTGAGGAGCCTAGAAGGCACTAAAGTATACACTTTGACTCTAAGATGAAGACCTTTACAAATGGTCTTGCATGGCAGCTAAGAAATTTCTTTTGCAGAAAGAGATTTGGAGTTTTTTGATTTATGAAAAGCGTTACTGGTATACTGAAGGATACTGATGCGTGTCTGTGAAGCAAGAAACTACAGCATAAGGATCTGGGGGAGAATTTCACCCACTGATGCCCCTGACAAAATAAATTAAATTACACATGCTGAGAAAACTAAAATGATTTTGGCTCATTATGGTGTACCTTTGGGAAAATTGCTGATTAAAACCTACTCAACACATCAACACATCTTGAGGTGGATGGGCTACAATAGCAGAAGACCACATCAGGTTCCACTGCTGTCAGCCAAGAACAAGAATCTGAGGCTATCATGGGCACAGACTCACCCAAACTAGACAGCTGAAAACTAGAAAATGACCAGGTGATTTTTTCCCCCCAATCTTCAACTGTCTAGTTTGGGTGAGCCTGTGCCCATGATAGCCTCAGATTCCTGTTCTTGGCTGACAGGAGTGGAACCCAATGTGATCTTCTGCTGTTGTAGCCCATCCACCTCAAGGTCCAATGTTTTGTGCATGCTGAGATGCTTTTCTGCTCACCATGGTTGTAAAGAGTGATTATATGAGTTACTATATCCTTCCTGGCAGTCTGACCCAATCTGGCCTCTGACCTCCCTTATCAACAAGGCGTTTCCACCTACAGATCTGTTGCTCACTCAGTGTTTTTTGCACCATTCTGTGTAAACTCTGGAGACTGTTATGTGTGAACATCTGTTATCCAAATATATAAACAGTTGCCAGGAATCAGCCAATTTGCTTTAAACATGTAAGAATGTATGGACGTGTCCATGGTGAATGGTAATTCGCCATGTCTCATATACACTCACTGAGCACTTTATTAGGAACACTATACTAACACTGGGTAGGGCCTCACTTTGCTCTCAAAACAGCCTCAATTCTTTGTGGCATGGATTCCACAAGATGTTGGAAACATTCCTTTCAGATTCTGGTCCATGATGGCATGACTGCATCATGCAATTCCTGCAGATTTTTCAGGTGCACTTTCATGCTGCAAATCTCTCGTTCCACCACATCCCAAACGTTTTCTACTGGATTCAGATCCGGTGACTGGGAAGGCCACTGAAGAACACTGAACTCATTGTCATGTTCATGAAACCAGTTTGAGATGACTTTTGCTTAGTGACATGGTGCATTATCATGCTGGAAGTAGCCATTAGAAGATGGGAAAATTGTAGCCATGAAGGGATGCACACAGTCAGCAACAATACTCCAATAAGCTGTAGCATTCAAATGATGATTGATTGGTGTTAATGGGCCCAAAGTGTGCCAAGAAAACATTCCCCATACCATTACACCACCTCCACCAGCCTGGACTGCTGACACAAGGCAAGGGTCCATGGATTCATGCTGTTGGCACCAAATTCTGACCCTACCATCTGTGTGCGTCAGCAGAAATCAGATTCATCAGACCAGGCTACATTTTTCCGGTCTTCAACTATCCAGTTTTGGTGAGCCTGTGCCCGCTGCAGCCTCAGCTTTCTGTTCTTGGCTGACAGAAGTGGAACCCGAAGTCGTCTTCTGCTGTTGTAGCCCATCTGCCTCAAGGTTCGACGTGTTGTGCATTCTGAGATACTTTTTTATCTCAATTGTACAGAGTGGTTATCTGAGTTACTGTAGCCTTTCTGTCAGCTTGAACCAGTTTGGCCATTCTCAGTTGACCTCTCTCATCAACAAGGTGTTTCCATGCGCAGAGCTGCCTCTCACTGGATATTTTTTCTTTACGGCACACTTCTGAGTAAACTCTAGACTCTAGATACTGTTGTGCTTGAAAATCCCAGGAGATCAGCAATTTTAGAAATAGACAAACCAGCTTGTCTGGCACCAGCAATCATACCATGGTAAAAATCACTGAGATCACATTTTTTCCCGATTCTGATAGTTGATGTGAACATTACCCAATGCTGCTGGCCCATATTTGCATGAATTTATGCAATGCACTGCTGCCACATGATTAGCTGATTAGATAATTGCATGATTGAGTAGGTGTACAGGTGTTCCTAATAAAGTGCTTAGTGAGTGTACACATCCATACATCCTTATATTCATGTTTGTTTGCAATATGATTTGGTGTATTTGAAACTGCACTGTTATTTGTTTGGTAGTTGCATTCTTCTTTTTGATAACACCCTTGCATGAAGTTTTAGTGACTATATTTAGTGGATAATATACCAACAATACATAGTCATGAAGCATTATATGTGTCACACTGACATCGCTATTAGCTATAAACATCACTATTAACATCCAGCATCCCATCATCTGTCAGTCTTCATCAGTGCACTTAAACATAGTCTCCAAATCAAATAACCAATCCCTGAAATAGCAACAGCTGCAGATGGTGGATCATATTATGAGTTATTGAACATCCTCCTATTAGTCCACTGTTAATCATGGAAAATGAGTGAGACAGTTAACTGTCATTCAGGATTAATAACAGGGAGTCCTAACAAAAAAAATGTTTAGAACAAGGAACGGACAATCTTCATTGTCTTCTAATGTATTCATATCTTATTGAATGATGTGTGCTTAATAAATGGAGTGTTAATTGATTTTAGTATAACTTGGTATTTTTGGTAGGTAAACAGGACACAAGCAAAATTAAGGGGAAAATGAATGTCGAAATTGAATGTTGATGGCTGTTTGGGTGCTTTAGCAATAGTGCAAGTGTTGCTTATTGATTCAAATAAGTGAAAGCAGCAAATTCATTCAACACCATAATCAAAGCAGCAAACGTCTTATTTTATTTGATTACAGTGGAAGAGCTGGGGACATGTGGATGTGTTTTGTGTCTGTTTGTGTCGGTGTGGGCATGACAATGCTGGAAACCCGACATCATGGGCTTCAAATATGGACAAATCCATTACACATCAGTGTGAAACTAAATTCTTAGAGAGCCAAAAAAAAAAAACATGCTGATAAAATAAATCCAAGCCTTCAGGACTATGGGTCAGTTCTGCGAATTGGGTGTGGAAGTGGTGGCTGCTATCAGTAAGCTCAGCCTGTTTGCAGGAGTAGGTGAGTG